GAACCAATGGTCCGATTTTCAAACTCTAAACGGAATTTGACGCCTTTTTAAAATAGAATTTACGCTACGGTAACCTTTTTCCAAAAATCTAGCAAAAACGCGAATTTGAAATTAGTTCTCAAACTTCTGAGAACAAATTTAAAAATGTGGGCTTATAGCGCGATGGCGACATGCTTCCTGAATCCAACGCCGTGACAATCATGCAAATCGAACGAATAGGAGCGTCGTAAAGTGAAATTTACGAAAACCCTCGCCCCCTCCCCTTCTGCGCCGTTGCGTCACCCACCCGCCAGTTGTGGACCCTCTGTCGGCGCGGCCAGGCCCGGCGGCGTGCGGTCAGCCCAGGCGGAGCAGGAGGGACTTGCGGGATACGCAAGCCAGACAGTCTGTTAATGCGTTCGTCACTTTCCATCTCTATCTATTTTTCCACAGATACCAAACTAGAGATGCTATACTACTATTACAGACCGAGGTAAACGGTCTGTAATAGTAGTGCATAACTATCTTTTTCACATATTTCCGTCTTCCTTCGAATACCATTTTAAAATTTTTGTAGGCATTACTAAAAAAAATGATTCCAATTTTTAACTTTTTTTAAAAAAGGAACTAATTGTGTAAATATCAGCATTATTCCATCTCCGCAAATCTTATTTTAGATATATTTTACTTCTAAGGTCTTCTGTTATCACTCCACCTTGGTCTGAGATCTTCCGTTGTCAAATACCGTAAAAAATGAGCGGAGTATACGCACGAGATCTTTTATCCTACAATTCGATTTTTGATCTCAAAACGTTTATCTGCTTTAAAGAGTTCATCTGGTGAATTTCTTTTCCCAAGTAAAATAGCCGAAGCTAATTTTAAAAATGTTTTCGTACTTTCGGACAAATTTAAAATAAAAATGCATGATCTTGGCTGTCCGGGTGACGTTGCGTCGAAGGCTGTTTTGCCAACATTTCGACCATTTTGTCGTGATATTCCTCAGGGCTGGTATGCCCATCCATAAGATGGTATGGACATGGTAAGACCACGACAAAATGGTCGACACGTCGGCAACAATCTCCGACGCGGCGTCACCCGGAGAGCCAAGATCATGCACATGACTCTGGCCGAAAAAGCCTACGACTTCAAATTTTAAAAAAGTGGTAAAATAGCGGTCTGGCGAGCTGTATCCTGACTCCAACGCCGTAACAAGCATCGAAATACGATAGTATGAGTCATGACTTATCCCAGCTTACTTGGTAAGTTATTTTTATATAAAATAAATAGGTTTTATTTGTATAATTTTGATGGGAATTAATAATTCCTGGTGAGTCGTTTCATACAGACTACGTAAATGAATAAAGGGTAATGATGCAATTGGATAACTCCTAGATGTTTGCTTGCATTTGGAGCGCGTTTTCCCTTCAATTTTCTTTGTTTTATAAAAAGTAGATTTTCTAGAAAAAGTTATCTGTAGAAATTGCAGTATGCAAAACCAGTTAGACGTGACTCTTTCGAGACATATCGGACACAACAATATAAATAATATAGAATATTCAAACGAGTTTAAAAACGAAGGAAATCTTTTTCTAAGAGTATGATCTTAGGATATGTTTTACGCTAACGCTTACGCGACATAATGTAATCTACACAACTTTCCAGAGGAGATAGAAAATGAGGTTTCTTACAATGTGAATTGTTTTTGAAAATCTTAAAGTATATGTTTACATCAACATTTTTAAAATCCTTTTTTCTTTTTCTTTTTCCGAGGAATGTCTTTTGCCGATTGACTGAATTACACGGTATTCTTGCAATTGTGTTGTTATTTGCACAATCTCGGCTGTCTCCTTTCTTTGGTAATGGAATAATTATAGTGCGTTGCAAATCTGTTGTTCACTGTTTTATTTTCCAGATCACATGGCATAATTGTGTTTGTTTCGCCAAGATTTCTCCCCTGTATCTTTGAATAGTTAAATTGGAATATTATCTACAGCCGGGGACTTCCCATTTTTCAGTTGTTTTGTCGCCTAATTCATTTCTTTGATCTCAGGTTCTTATTCATAATCATCTATATTTATACACTACTCTATTTGTAAGCCCTTATCATATAACTTCTTCGTTTCCCCATTTTTCGGATTCTCTTTTTTGTATATTTTGTGTTCTCGTTCTTAACATTTGCCATTGTGGTTCAAGTCCTGGTCATATTCCGGATGATCTGGAAGATTTTTAAGATACCATTTGTTTGTAATGTTTTCATTTCTTCGTTTTTTCTTGAATAAACTTTTCTTTATCTTGTCTTGGCTGGTGGAACCGTAGATTTTCTACTTTCGCTGGTCATTGTTGTTCTTTGCAGATAAATATGTTTGAAAAGATGATAATATAAGGATTCGTTGTAATACTATTATTAAAGTAATATAATAATATAATAATATAATATAATAATAATAATAGGCACGCGTTTGGAGTAAAAACCAAAGTATGTACACTATAGTATTGCTTATCATCGTACTATATAATCCATCGAATCTTCACTTCGATGTCTGTGTTTCCAAGATTTTGTGAAAGTTCTTTATATTTCACGGAGAGAATCTTGAATTTTCTCTGAGAGTCTGATTCAGTCTGTTGATTGTGAAAACTATTGAGCAGGTTGTTGCTCCGAATGCATCGGGCGGTTGGTCTTTCATCGCCACCTGCCGCAAAGGACTAGAGGTGGGACTAGGGCACGAACGAGCCTGGACTCGCGTAAAGTGGCCGTGGGGGAGGGGGCACTGAGGAGTATACTGCACTACCATTCAAGTACAAAATGGTCAATGAATTGAGTGTTTGTAAACATTTCTTTCAATAAAACCGCACCGCAAGAAGTCGCAGAGACAACCACTCATTTTTCATAATTTACTTTGTTCATGTCACAAACATCATGTACAAACTTTTAAAATTACGTTGGTCAGTCACAAAAGCTTTGGGTTATCTCTTTTTATCTGCCTGTTAGTCTGTACAACAGAGATTGTGAAAGTATTGCATGTCTGTCCTAGCAACTCCGATCATACAGTCACACCTCGATTTCGGTGCTTTTGAATAAATGTGAATAATAATAATAATAATAATAATAATAATAATAATAATAATAATAATAATAATAACAAAAATTACATTGTAGATAACTGCGGCTATATGCATAAAAAGAACCAAGAAATTCAAAATTATAATTTACTTTTAGTTTACGAGACAAATCTTTCCCCAATGTTACAAGTAATCGCAGCTCGAGTCATGAAAATTCCAGTCTCCTCCTCATCGCTTCGCCTCTCCCTGAAGCGGTGCCATGGGAGACGCTAGATTTGTGCAGGACCTGCGGTCGCTTCCGATTACATACGAGGGTCTCTGTGTTATCGCCTTCCGCTTACGGAGTGAGGAGAGGTGTCACAGCAGGAGCGGATCCAACCGATTATTTTTCGGGAGGGGTATATTTTTGTATACATTTATGTAAATAATAAATGTATTTGTTATTATATTTTATATTATTTAGAGATTCACCAGATGAACTCTTTAAAGCAGATAAACGTCTTTTTGAGATCAAAAATCGAGTTGATAAAAGAGCTCGTGCGTATACTACGCTCATTCTTTCCGGTATTTGACAACGGAAGATCTTAGAGCAAGATGGAGTGATAACAGAAGACGTTAATAGTAAATTATATCTAAAATAAGATGTGAGAAGATGGAATAATGGTGATATTTATAGAATTAGTTCATTTCTTTTAAAACCAGTTCCAAATCAGACACGATATTTTGAGTAATGCCTCAAACAATTTTAAGATGGTACTCGAAGGAAGACAGAAATATGTGAAAAAGATAGTTATGTACTACTATTACAAACCGCTTACCTCGGTCTGTAATAGTAGTAAACCGTTTACCTCGGTCTGTAGTAGTAGTATAGAATCTCTAGTTTCATATCCGTGGAAAAATAGATTGAGATGCAAAGTGACCAACGCATAAACCGAGTGTGTGGCTTGCGTGTCCCGCAAGTATCGCTTCCTCCGTCGGGGCTGGCCGCACGACGCCGGGCCTGGCCGTGCCACCGCGTTGACAGAGGGCTAGTGGGTGACGCAACGGCGCAGAAGGGGAAGGGGGGGGCGAGGGTTTTCGTAAATTTCACTTTACGAAACGCTCCTATTCGTCTGATTTGCATGATTGTCACGGCGTTTTGATTCAGGAAGTATGTCGCCATCGCGCTATAAGCCCACATGTTTAAATTTGTTCTCGGGAGTTTGAGAACTAATTTCAAATTCGCGTTTTTGTTAGATTTTTGGAAAAAGGTCATCGTAGTGTAAACTCTATTTTAAAAAGGCGTCAAATGCCGTTTACAGATCGAAAATCGGACCATTGGTTCAGACGTTATCGGTAATGTAAATTTTACTTATTTTGGTGCTGCCACGTGGTGGCTACAAAATGTACTAGTGTCGGGACATTTAGCCTTAAGGGCGGGAATATATTTGCAGCAAACGATGCACACTCGACGTTAGCAATGACATTTAATAAATTATTAACAATTTGGATTGTATACTTCTAAAGAACCTGTAACAAGTATTGTACTTCAGGTTCTTTCTTCAATTCTTTCTGGGTCATTCACCCCCTTATCTCAATCAGGTTTTTGTCCAGTCTCCCTAATCTTGGCGTGAACTGTTTTTGGCGTAAGTAAGTAGACACATTGCAATAAAATGTCTCAAAACAATGGAGCAATCCAGGTTCCTAGATGATATTCTGTAATACCTTCACCGCTTATTGATTATTATTATTAACAGAATATTATGGAATCAAATTACTGTGGTGTACACCCATCCACCAAAATGAGGAAATTTTCAATAACAATTTTATATCCTTACTATTCTTATGCATTTCTTATGAAATAATAAAGAAGAAATATACTAACTCATTGAAAGTTAATGTCCAAATGTTATTAGATAGATATGCATAGGGATGAAAGTTAATTTTTTTTTAAATTAAAACCCAATCAGCAACATGTATTTGGAATGGTGATTTACAAAATCTAAGAGCACATTATCAGTTTTTACTACATTCACGTAGCACTCTCATGGCACAATAATATTGGATAATTTAAAGGAAATAACTAATAACATAGATATGATACCTTCTTGTCATTACAAATATTCAAATATATTTTTCTAATAAGCGAAAAATTCTGTCTAAGGGAGAATGAGATTTTGATGCTAACAGCTGCCCAAATATGTGCCTGTTAATTCCAATTAATGGTTTAAACATAATTATAGAAAATACGTAAAGTTTGAAAATGACACTAGAAAATAATGTTCATATTATAAATATATTTGGTAATAATTGATGTAAATTCTCACTTCACAAATGTTATCTGCAATTTATCTTATCTAAAAATATATAACAATATTGTAGGAAATCACACAAGTCACTATCATTCAGAGGTTTTACTCAATGTTCGAAAAAAGGTTTAAAAGTATCACACTCTCTCGCACCAGAATTAATTTTAAAATTTACATTATAAACTTTTTGAAACATTAAAAAAAAAATTCAATAACATATAAATATCTTTATTTTAAACATCAACTAAAAGCAAATGATACTTAAAACACAACCACAGATAACTTGAAATCTATTGTATCTACAAATAGGTAATATGCAAATTCTTTATTATTCAAAGAAGAAAATTACTTTTGAAAGTGTAAGAATCATTTTATGATCATTTTGTTCTGCAACTACACAGATAATTATTAGCAAAATATTCTTGTTCATAATTTGTTATCTCTCAAAAATTGGCCCCCCCCCCCCCCCCACACACACACACACACACCACATTACATAAATGCTCTCAGCAAAGACAGAAAAATTGAATACTTTTATCTCAGAAACTCAATTACACTGTACACACAGCTAGTAGTAAGCTTTCCTGAAAAATGTTTCATTATCATCTTGCAAACATTTTCACCAACAACAGAAAGTTTCTCACAAAATTTACATCTTACATGTCTCTGATATCCTGCCCATGATATCAGAAGTATATCTTGGACTTCAAACTCATAAACCAACAAACATATCAAGAATACATAAAATATTACCAACAGCAAAATATAATGACCCTTTTCTTTTCATATTTCATGAATGTGTAGGCCCACACACTTACCTATTGTCTCAATTTTTACTGTTTAGAAATCAGTATGTAAAAATATGTTCTCGAGAATCATGAAATACCCATACTTACTGTACAACATTACAAATGGATGGATAAATTTTCTCCTACTGTGACAATAGTTGCAAATATAAAATATATTTCAGAATGAAATCACGCCTAACTCCATCTTTACTTTAGAAGAAATAATTCAATGCTGCTATTAGAAACACTGGACTCCTTATTTAATAACAGAGGTATCTTTAAAATATAGGGACAAGCTAAAGGACACTTCACATCAGTCTCACATTAAACTACATATTTAAAAATGTGAAAAATTTCATGATGATTACATAATGTAAAAATACACGTAATATGAATGAAAGACAGTCTACTGAGAAACAAAGTAAGCTGCATTAAAAGCAGGTAAATCTGAGCCTTTATAGAACCATAACTTACAATTATTTTATCATTCACAATTGTTTCTTCATTGGAAAAAAAGAACAACAAAAAAGGAGAGAGAGAAAGAGAGAGAGAGAAAGAGAGAGAGAGAAAGAGAGAGAGAGAGAGAGAGAGAGAGAGAAAGAGAGAGAAAGAGAGAAAGAGAGAGAGAGAAATGTAAGAAAGAAAAAAAAAAAGGTTGAGAAGAATCACTTCCCTCAATTCACTTCGTTAAATGCAATGTATACTTACAAGCCAACATATAGTACATTATTTACAAACAAATATCAAGACAAATATTGCCTGAACATTTATGACATTTGATTAATCCTTCCAAATTGATTTAATATACATTTTTTAACACTACACTTTTTAATGAGTTAATATATTAAACATAATCACAGATAATTACTTTTGTAGCACTTGTTTTTTCAAACATTGTTTAGCAAGTTCGGAACATGTCTGAATTGCAAATCTTAAGATCCAACATCTCTGTCTGTCTTGCAAAAAAAGCATGAAACAATGCTTTTATCTTCCCAACTTCTCCATCATTCTTCAGAAAATTATGAGAGACATTCCATTATATTTAAAATCAAATGTAGTCACTTATCCACTTCCAACATTTCTCTTCAACACACATCACAGATATAAGTACAATGAGAAAAAGTAAAAATATACAAGGAAATTATAGCACACCACCAAGGGATCAAAAGGCCTAGAGCACTAAACTTATCATACTCTGTCACAATATCACATTCAAAAAATTATGATTCTTCCATATTGTCGTACTTATTCCGTTGTCCAAGAAAATCACCAGAACGATTGAACATATTACTTATATCTTCTCTTAGTCTCTCATAAAATGATTTGTATTCCATGTCATTAGCTTGACCAAAGTCAAAATCAGCAACTTCAACAGTGTATCTGTCAAATTAAACCATTAAATTTGTACAAATAAGTTCACATTACATTTTCATATGAAATAGCATGTTCGCATACTTGAAATGAAAAACAATAAAAAACTAAATAGAAGCAAATACAACGAGCCACACAAGAAAAGGTAAACAAAGTAATGAAGACAATAGAAATAAAAGTAAAAAATGCAATAATGGTAATAGAAGATAGTGAAACTTGATGGCTGGCACATAATAAAAGAATGCAATGTAGAATAATTCTACACTCCAGGCAAGAAGGAAGAAATATAGAAAGACCTGAATTGAAGTGGAATGATTTATGGGGTAAACCATGAAGACTATTTCGAGAACAAAAGAAACAGTACCTCAAACCTAACAGCCTGTGCACTTACAATGATGATGATGATGATGAAATACCCTTTTTATACATTTTATTATCATAAATTGTATTTCAATAAACTTTTGCCTGCCCCGAAATTCTACATGCACCCATGCTGAGAGAAATACAAAATTTAAGAATACAATTATAAAGGTCAATACTATCAAGCATGTTACAAAAATTCTTTCAGTTAAACAGATTGAGGAGTTATTCAATAATAAAAGAAAATAATTTCTTACCTGTTCTGGCTTTGAACATAATATGCAACACCAAAAACAATAATAATGATAGCCAATAAACTGCAGGTAACAGGCACCACTATGACAGATAACTGAGGTTGGACTGAAACTAGAAGGACAACAATAAGAACAGTAGTGTCTATAACAACTTACATAAATTTGCATTTTTTTGACAACATACTTACCTTTATACATTCTTATCACTGCTGGAGTAACCACTTTAGAAACATCATTCATAATGACAATAATGTATGTGTATGTGTTAGCTTCACGGAAGTAATGAGTTAGGGTAAAATTACAGACATCACCTTGCAAAGGTGAAGAACAATTTTCATAACCTGCAATAAGAAATTATCACTAGATAAGAATATAAAAATAAAAAAAAATTAAAAATTGCATTTGCTAAATTCAGGTAACCATAACACTACCTGTTACATTGTGCACACCAACTTTAATTTTGGTACAGTGTTGAAATTTTGCAGAACCGTTACAAGAAATACTCAGGTTAAGTACATCACCAAACTGAAGCCAATTGTTACCTTTCACATTCACTTTAGTGATGGGGACTGTAAAAGGACATGCATATGATACAGCATTTTCAATGAGATTCAAGAAGTTAGATCCTTCTTAAAATAAATATGTATAATGAAGTTTTTTATAAAAAAGAAAACTATTCTAAATTCCTTAATCAGAAAGAAAATTAGTTTAATAATTTCTTCACATGAACTATCCAAGTTTTGTTTCAGGACACTGCCTCACCTTTAGCAGATATCTGGATTCGGAAATATCCATACGTTTTGTTTGGATCCGATGGTATAAATGTTTTATTTAAACATTCATTTGGCAAATAATTATTAAAAGAAAGATTCCTTATGGAATTTAAAATGATATTGGTATTATCTACATGTCGCTTTTGAACAAGCACAGCTTCTTTGGAGATCATGCTACTTAACACTGGAGAGATTTTTGCCCCATCATTTGTCAAAGAGTCTTCTGAAACCATTGGAGTTGATGTCTCTTTTGATGCAGTAGATAATTTTCTACTGTCAGTTGAATCAGTAGCCACAAATATTTGTTCAGTAAAAGTATTTTCTACTGATGAAGACCCATTAGTTTTTAAAATAATTTTAGACCTGGGAATTGCTTCACTCACTGGACTGGATGAGCGAGATGTAGAAATGACTGGAGTAGCTGGAGTAGTTGTGGTAGAACTTGAAGTAGTGAAAGTGGAAGTAGTGGTTGTAGTAGAAACTGGAGGAGGATCATCAAAAGAAGCTACCACAAGTGTTTCAACAGTGTACGTTTTTTCCTCAGTGTAATTAAAAACAAATGAGAAGTCAGTCGAATATCCATAGTAAACACAATCCACAAACCAAAATGTTAAAACACTGGTGGCATTATTGGCTATAAAATTACGGTCAGGTTCTGACAACATGATATTATGTTTCACAGGACTTGCATTGGACACGAAAAACTCTTCTTCTTTCCAATCATTCTGTTCAATATGTATTCTTCCATTTAAAGTTTCTGCAAAATAAATAATTTAAAAAATCAAACTCATAATTAATCTCCATATCAGCAAAATAATAGTCAACTCTGAGTAGTCATTATTTTATATTCAATTGCCTACATCTTGTATTACATTATTAATGTAATTAATGTAATGATTAATTTTCATTACAAATAAGCATTGTTCACTGAAAAGAATACATTTTTAGTACCTGTCACATTAAATCTAATTTTTTCATGTGCCTCTTGAATGTAGATTATTTTTTTTTTGTACACCAAGACTGTCACTTCATATTCTTGGGCCGAATAACGATTTGATGGGTATGATATATTCCATTCAATAGTTGCATTACGTGTTTCCAATATCTAAGATTAAAACAAAGTACTCTTTTAATATCCTCATCAAATATACATGACTATTACAAAATTTACAATGAAGTACATGTACTGTAATTTTGATAGTTTTTGGGCGGGTTGACACTTACATGGTTCCGGTGTTGAGGGTAAGCATTGTCATGCCATTCATAAGCAAATTCTCCAGTAGGTGCTTGGTTAAGAGCGTCAATTAATTTTGCAGTTATAGTTATATTGGCACCCAATACCACAGGCCCATTGTGTGAAAGAATTACATCAATTGGGTCACTGAAAGCTGCATGATATTTTCGTAAAAATGAATTATCAAATTTAAATTGTCAAAATATCTATCAATACAAGTTTTTTTGCTAATAGAAAAGCAGTTCAAAACAAATTAATACTCTTTTTAACTCATTTAACAAAAGCAACGCGTATAAACGGATATTCACTTACCGTCCCCAATACTGAATAGGATGCTCGCAATCAACAGATTTCTTAATATTACATCCATGTTTTCGTTCGAATGTTGAATTTTAAGACGTCACAATCCACCCACGAAACCCCACAATTGTTACTCGCCCTCGATACTCATTAGTGGATGTCATATGACAGCCCACATTGATATCGCTGTGAAAGACTTGAAAATTAAATATGACCCCACGGATTGCACAGTAGAGAATCAATGTATGTCACACATTAATTGGATCCATAAATAACACATAAAATATATAAAGTAAAATAATATATGATTTTCATAATGACATAAAATCTTCTGTTATACTTCCTATCACAATGCACAACAGAGAGTATATATCACACAGTATAGAGATGCACAAGTTGGCTGTCATGAAAATGTTTCTGATGTTTTCAGTAAATATTGCTTTCATCTACCAATAGATGGCAATGCTGTCTTCAAAACATGAATGGCCTTGAAGATTCTCATTTTTGTTGTGTTGCTTGTTTTGAATCGGAAGTGATAGGTATTGCACTGCTTGTGTTTTTTAGTTACTTTATTTTTCACTTTGAATCATGTCATCAGTGCTCGAAAACGCTTATTTGAGGCAAAGACTTCGGCAGATGGATCAGTTATATCCCGAACCTTCGACATTCGGACGATGTGATTGCAGGTCTTATTCGTATTTTGCTCTGTCGATTGTACTATTTGTTCTTGGAACACTCATTACGGTACTTGTTTTCGGTGATGCCGGCGGATATTTATTCACAAATCTGGGACATGTGTGGTTAGTAGGACCAGTATTCATTTGTTCCGGACTCGTGATAGCTGTGAGAAGTGTTTTGTATTTAAGAAAGAAAAGTGTTATTCAAATGCTATTGCGGCAACGAGCACTTCTTCGGGTACAGTACAACAATTTTAAAACATTGCGTTTTGTTGTAATATTGCATGTCTTTACATGATTACCTTACCTGCCTTTATTGTATCACACAATTTTGAGATGCATGAGATGTTTGAATATACTAACCCGGTCTAGGGACTACAGGAGTTAGCACAGCAGTCAAGGAATCAACAATCAGGATGTGTCATTCGTAATCCAAGTACAGTAACATTGCCACCGACATATGAAGCTTTGATGGGCGCTTCAGCATCGCATGATAGCAGTGGCCCCACAGAGGCACCACCGCCCTCTTACGATGAAGCAATGTTTCTCATTGGGGATGAAAAGTTGCAGGTGGTTTTAGAAGAATCAAAGTATGCTGCTAGGTTAGTAAATTTGGAAGTCTTTCAATTTTGAATCATTGCATGAATGTTATTGTCTTCTTTTTACACATTTTATTATATTTACCTGTAGTTCTGAAGACGAACTGAGTAAGGGTCTTCATGAAGCAGCCTGCTGTCATAAACCACCTGGAGAAAATAATGGTGGAGATTGAGAAGAATGCTAAAGACTGAGTTAAATATTTATATAAAACTATTTTTTAGATACTAGTTGGATCAATATTTCATTTATTCTTTTAATTTTTTTCCTTATTATTTTATTATCTTGCCCTCTTCATCCAACAAATTGTGCTGCACTTAGGTCTATGATGCACATCTGTTGAAATACCCTGCTTTTTCTGCAAATGAACTGGAAAAAACAAATAAAAACAACAATTAATTGTCTAGAAATTGTACAAGCAGCTCCCTTCATTTTAGATACAAATACTTTGCAATACTTATAAGAAGTTTTTAAGATAAGACTTCAATTTGTAGTAATGAATATTGCTATAGTATTGAACCTTAAAATTCTTCTACTGAATCATATTTTTATCCATGAAAGGTCAGCCATGTGATGCCATGTAATGGCAGAAAGTAAATTTTTTAAAGTTTTTACTACAGCGTTGACAACTGAAAGTGATGAACACAACAACTTACAAACGCCATGGTTCTTTAGATTCAAAAGTGTGCAATTTTGAATATCATCTCTATATGAAAATAAAAAATCATTCATGTCTTTTAAAATGTCCTTTGTTGCCTTGACAGATGTGCATCTTGTACTAAAATAGCACAGATTGAAAATGTAAATGTGCTTCATAAAAAACAAACGGCTAGAAAACACTTATAAATATTTTGAACAAGGACTCAATTGATGAATTGTACTCTGCTCTGTTATTTCAGCTTGGCAAGATACACTGATAGTATATTATGATAAACTACTTCAATTTTGCCTTTCTTTTTGAATTATTAATCTCTAATAAAATGAGCATAAAATTATCTATCAAGTGAAAAAATAAACCAGATTGATTATATACAGCTAAAACTGCAGTTTACCAATAACAGTAATGCTGTTTAATAAATATTATTCTATTGAATAAAACATTGTGTGACAATGAACTAGAAAGGTCTTAATGCCATTTCTTGTATCTCTCAGCACTTATTACAGTGCTTCTTGTATTAATTTCTTTAATCTTCTCTCTTCTGTATTTATTTCTTAAATATTTTTCCCTGATTTTCCCCTCCCCCCCCACCACACACACACATACACAAAGAAAAATCCCCTGCCAGTAACTGACTAAAAGCTAAATTTTGTTCAAGATTTTAAAGGAACATGTTCTGTAGGCATAGTAAAAAGTAAATGTCACCCATACATTTTTCAATCATTGCATATGAAGTACTGCATAACATTTTGTTACCAACAAATGTATTCTTGTGTTTGATTTCGTGTAGACATTGGTAAAAATAGTATTTTTGCCTATATGTATGCACAAGAAGATATTATATACTATTTGTGTTATTGTTCAGTTTTTATTGTTTATATATTCAGTGGGCTAAGCACATATTTAATTTTATATATGCTCATTTGACTGATTTGTAGAATGTAAATAATAGAGAGATATTATGTTTTATATGATGAAATAAGAAATATTTCTTTTTATTAATTGCTTACCATTTTTATCTATGTTTAGAAGTATGCTTGATTTGGAGTTGCGATCTATCATCAGAATGTATTAGTCACAAAAATTTTAAACATCATAGGAAAAATTTTGCTACAAATGCTATATTTTGAAAACATGTTTGTTTGTATAAACTGTATTTAATACAAAGTATACTAATAACATTTAAAAATATATTTCTATAACTTTTTTGCTGTGTATGCTTGTTAAGTTTATTTGTTGTGCAAATATGGTTCATATTAGTTCTATTCCCAAACGGCGATCAAACGAGTGCTTGCCAGCGTTACGGGCCACCCCGGAGGTCGCAATCTGAGGGAACGCACGGCCAACCTGCGAGATCGCTGACCAAGCCGGGTAGCTCGCTGGGGGGGGTGATTTCGTCTCCACAAGGGCAGCGTAGTAGCGCTTCCAACATGTAGCGCCACGCAGGGGCGCCCTTGGGCTCAGCGAGAGTGCTGTCGACAAGAGTAGACGCGGCTCCCCAGTCATTCGCGCCGAGTGCTGGCCTCAAGGTGTGCCGATCAGGAGAGTTGGCGCTGCTCCCACGGGCGCGTGGTGGTGGCCTGCAAGCCCGGCGTTCATCCGCGAGGAGCGTCGCTGGGGCGCAGATGCGGGATCTGCTCCCGCTGCCGGCTTGCGGACGATCCCCAGTAGGTCAAAAGGGTTCTAATATTGAGGGCGCGAAGGCACAGATCAAGCTGCCGGGGATACGGCAAGCATCGGAGACGTCTGCGGCAGTTATGGATCGTGGTTTGGCTGCTGCTTGGGAGCAGCGGCTGTAGTTTCCGCGCTGCGGCGGTTGGGAGGAGGTGGCGGTGTGGGCGGCGTTTGGTAAAAATAAACTTTCATTGGTCCTGCGGATGTCTTCCGCACCAACTGCGAATGACTCCTATGTCCGGAGTGGCTTGCTTCACCATGCTCATCCCGTGGCGGTACACAGCTCGGTGCTGCATTTGCCGTGCTGGGGCAGCGTCGACTTGGTCGAAATGACAGGTGAGCTGTCAGCTTTAGGGAGCGGCTGTGCTCCGTTGTGGTTGTTCATCCCAACGACGAGGCCGAGGGGTGGCGCCTGTCCTCAATGGTAGACATAGGCTAGCGGTGCATTTTTTCTCAAGCCCT